CTCCAGTAACCACTTATGCTCATGCTACCCCAGGTTGCTAACCACTACTCTCCAGCTAAGCTCAGCAGCTAATGCCACCATAGCCTGCTCCATATGCTAGTCCCATGCCGCTCCATATCGCCATGCCGCCCCAGTAGCACCTACCCATGCCGCCCCAGTTGCTACCTACGCTCATTCCGCCCCAGTACTACCTACGCTCATTCCGCCCCAGTAGCTACCTACGCATGCCGCCCAACCATGCCGCCCCAATTGCCGTGGGAACCACCAGCCAAAGCGTAGTCCGTTCTTTGGGAGGAGCTCAAGCAGTATCTCACTACTCCAAGGCTGAGGACAGTGCCTTTTCCACCGTCCGCAAATACGATACCCGCATCACCAACGATGCTTACTCCTTTGCCCATGCCGCCCCAGTAGCTACCTATGCTGCTCCAGTAGTGGCTAAGGCTGCTTATGCTGCCCCAGTAGCTACTTATGCTCATGCCGCTCCAGTCGCCACTTATGCTCATGCTGCTCCATTAGCTACCTACGCTCATGCTGCTCCTGTTGCCAAAGCCGCCATTACATACTCTCCAGCTAGCGTTGTCTCTCATACTTCCTTCGCTGGTCTTGGTGCCCATTACGAATGGTAAATGCCTGATTCATGTAAATAGTTGAATGCTCAGTTAATTTATTATAATAAACTTCTTTTGCAAAACAATATATATGTTTAATTTTCCTCATTGCAACTCTGAAATTATATCATAGTACACCAATTCTTGATTATAAAAACAAAACTTTGGTAGCCAATGCCACTTTCTTCTTGTTTCCTTTCCATTAACCGCTAATATTAATTAATGGAGAATACCCTTGATTTGTATCTTGCTATGATATACCACCTCTATTAGCTCTTCAGCAATTTACCAACAAACTTCTCCAGTTCTTGCAGTTCTTTGTCCATCTGCAGCATCTAAAAAACGTATGTACTGAGTTATCATCGTCTTTGCAGTACTAGCACTTATCATACTCCTTCTATTCACGTTTTACTAGAATATAAACTAGTTGCTATAGTAACTTATACTTAAAATCCTGAAACACATTATATTTGAATAAAAAAATCTTACAAAAATAGTTGACACAAATTTCCAAAATAACGTTTAATATACGTTAAATTTTGTTTTTATAATCAAGAATTGGTACAATATGATACAATTTCAGAGTTTCAGTGAGGACACTTAAACATATATATTGTTTTGCAAAAGAAGTGGTACCTCGCGTAACGAGCGTAATATAAATTAATTTAAAATACGATAATGCGTTCCATGCTGAAAATATAAAGGAACTCCTCTCTTTATTACCTATATGCATAACGACCACTCGAGATATGAATAAATTTGTAGTTTATTGCATAATTTTTATAATATTAATTATACAGTTATACTATATTCCCCTCGCTTATCGGCCAATTCACTTAATGTCCTAGTCGTCGGAACGAAACTAGATCGTTAAGTGACGATTATATGTATACAAAAAAAAAATATGTATAAAGTTGATTGAAAGAAAATTATAAATACATTGTTAAGGAGAGAGAATCATCTTCATCTTATTACGAAATTAAACAACCTGGAATGCGAATACGATTTGCAGAAAACATGAAAAAAACTAAATAATTTATTTATTATTTATGATACATATCTAATTCTGTTTTTCTTTTCTTTTGTTATTCTCTTACATTTTTCTTTTTATCGCTTTGTCTTCCGAGATATTTTTGGAACGGTTTTTAAACCTTGCACACGGAAAAAATAAAAGTTTGAAATATATGTAGCAAACACATAATCAAGAAATTAACCTTTCCCGCGTTACTCGTGCTCTGTTTTTTGCTCATATGCGGTATTACTCCTACTGAAAGATGCTCGTTAAGGGAGATTCCAATATGTTTATATTAAAATAAACAATTGTAAGTAATTAAAACAAAATATTATTCATAAATATATTTGTAAAGTACTTATATGCTAAATGAATAAAATTATTAGTTACTAAAGATTATGCTAAAAATAAATAAAAATTAATTATTTTCTTAATAATAAACAACATTTTAACATAATTAATATGAGTTTTTTTATTTTTATTGCAAAATTTATTCTTATTTTCGACAAAAGTATCTATCCTGTTAAGATCCGATTAAAACTAAATTATATTGTACATGAATATTAAATAATCATATTAATTTTAGCTACAATGATTTATAATGAGACATATGCTATTGTTATAATAAATTTAGCATTAATATACGACATTGAAGAAAAATGTTATTAACGTTATATGCAATCAATGTGAGTTAGTTAATTGTATATTTTTAATATTAAAACTTATTATAAATGATAATGTAATAAGATAAATTTAAATTTTTAAAACGGACGGACCTTTTGTAACGTTTAGTTTTACTATGATTGGAATTATAAATACGTGTTATTTACATATAACACATTAATTAATAAATATATAGTTAATTTTATATTTATTTAATAAGTAATATAATTTGTAATATATAAATAAAGTACTTAAATTAAAAAGTGTGTGTCGAATTAAATAATTATGTTTAATAGTCCCTACTAAACTAACCCAGACCTTCGAGAGCGAAAGTTGGTTTGGGTGGCTCCGGGTGATGGTTTTGTAAGAATTCGAAGTATAAAAACGTGCTTAAAATTTCTGTTTGGCATCAGTTTCTCACGAACTATCACCAAACACATATCTGCAATGGCTTTCAAAGTAAGTACATCATATAAACAAACAATATATTCGAATTATAATACCAAACTTTACATTTGCTTTCTTTGCAGTTCGTAGTACTTTGCGCCGCTTTGGCTTGCGCCAACGCCGGACTCATCGGTGCACCAGTTGCTCACTACTCTCCAGCTGAAGCAGTCAGCTCCAGCTACATCCACCAAGCAGCTGCTCCAATTGCTGTTGCCCATGCCGCTCCAATCATCGCCAAGACCTACGCCGCCCCAGTAGCCACCTACGCCCATGCCGCCCCAGTTGCTACCTACGCACATTCCGCCCCAGTAGCTACCTACGCTCATTCCGCCCCAGTAACTACTTACGCTCATGCCGCACCAGTAGCCACCTATGCCCATGCTCTCCAGTACTACCTACGCCCATGCCGCCCCAATTGCCGTGGGAACCACCAGCCAAAGCGTAGTCCGTTCTTTGGGAGGAGCTCAAGCAGTATCTCACTACTCCAAGGCTGAGGACAGTGCCTTTTCCACCGTCCGCAAATACGATACCCGCATCACCAACGATGCTTACTCCTTTGCCCATGCCGCCCCAGTAGCTACCTATGCTGCTCCAGTAGTGGCTAAGGCTGCTTATGCTGCCCCAGTAGCTACTTATGCTCATGCCGCTCCAGTCGCCACTTATGCTCATGCTGCTCCAGTAGCTACCTACGCTCATGCTGCTCCTGTTGCCAAAGCCGCCATTGCCTACTCTCCAGCAAGCGTTGTCTCTCATACTTCCTTCGCTGGTCTTGGTGCCCATTACGAATGGTAAATGCCTGACTCATGTAAATAGTTGAATGCTCAGTTAATTTATTATAATAAACTTCTTTTGCAAAACAATATATATGTTTAATTTTCCTCATTGCAACTCTGAAATTATATCATAGTACACCAATTCTTGATTATATAAACAAAACTTTGGTCGCCAATGCCACTTTCTTCCTCTTTCCTTTCCTTTAACCGATAATCTTAATGGAGAGTACCCTTGATTTGTATCTTGCTATGATATACCACCTCTATTAGCTCTTCAGTAATTTACCAACGAACTTCTCTAGTTCATGCAGTTCTTTGCCAATCTGCAGCATCTAAAAAACGTATATACTGAGTTATCATCGTCTTTGCAGTACTAGCACTTATCATACTCCTTCTATTCACGTTATACTAGAATATAAACTAGTTGCTATAGTAACTTATACTAAAAATCCTGAAACACATTATATTTGAATAAAAAAATCTTCCAAAAATACGTTTCTTGACACATAATCAAGAATTGGTACAATATGATACAATTTCAGAGTTGCAGTGAGGAAACTTAAACATATATATTGTTTTGCAAAAGAAGTGGCACCTCGCGTAATGATCGTAATATAAATTAATTTAAAATACGATAATGCGTTCCATGCAAAAAATATAAAGAAACTCCTTACTTCATTACCTATATGCATAACGACCACTCGAGATTCGACGTGCAATATGAATAAATTTGTATTTTATTGCATAATTTTTATAATATTAATTATACAATGATCCTATTTTCTCCTCGCTTATCGGCCAATTCACTTAATGTCCTAGTCGTCGGAACGAAACTAGATCGTAAAGTGACGATTACCTATATACAAAAAAAAATATGTATAAAGTTGATTGAAAGAAAATTATAAATACATTGTTAAGGAGAGAGAATCATCTTCATCTTATTACGAAATTAACCAAGCTGCAATGCGAATACGATTTGCAGAAAACATGAAACAAACACAATTCTGCGTTACTCATGCTGTTTTTTGCTCGTTATGCGAATTACTCCTACTGAAAGATGCTCGTTAAGGGAGATTACATTATGTTTATATTAAAATAAACAATTGTAAGTAATTAAAACAAAATATTATTCATAACTATATTTGTAAAGTACTTATTTGCTAAATGAATAAAATTATTAGTTACTAAAGATTATGCTAAAAATAAATAAAAATTAATTATTTTCTTAATAATAAACAACATTTTAACATAATTAATATGAGTTTTTTATTTCTATTGCAAAATTTATTCTTATTTTCGACAAAAGTATCTATCCTGATAAGATCCGATTAAAACTAAATTATATTGTACATGAATATTAAATAATCATATTAATTTTAGCTACAATGATTTATAATAAGACATATGCTATTGTTATAATAAATTTTGTATTAATATACGACATTGAAGGAAAATTTTATTAACGTTATATGCAATCAATGTGAGTTAGTTAATTGTATATTTTTAATATTAAAACTTGTTATAAATGATAATGTAATAAGATAAATTTAAATTTTTAAAACGGACGGACCTTTTGTAACGTTTAGTTTTACTATGATTGGAATTATAAATACGTGTTATTTACATATTAACACATTAATTAATAAATATATAGTTAATTTTATATTTATTTAATAAGTAATATAATTCGTAATATATAAATAAAGTACTTAAATTAAAAAGTGTGTGTCGAACTTCGAATTCTTACAAAACCATCACCCGGAGCCACCCAAACCAACTTTCGCTCTCGAAGGTCTGGGTTAGTTTAGTAGGGACTATTAAACATAATTATTTAAT